AGGGAAGAGGCAGGCTTTTCCTACTACACAGAGTGACGTGTTTGTTTCCATGACACTGAATTTACTTGGCACAATTCTCTCTTATTACAATTACTCATTTAATTGTGGTCTGACAAACTTTAAGCTCTGTGAGGGTGTAGACTACTCTATTTTCTTGCAGTTTCTGTGCCTGGCTCTTGCATGTGCTTTCAAAATATTTGTTGAAATAACATGTGGATGATGAAGTGAGTGAGGGAATTAGTGAAAGGAAGATCAATTAGGGGAAATAACGAGAATCTAGGCAAAATCATTTATAGTAGAGATGAAGAGGAGGGGACGAAGAAGGGAGGTATTTCAGGGAAAGAATAAATTCTGGCATCTGACTGACTGTGAGACACGAAGAGAAGGTGATGCTAAGGCTTTAAACTGGAACAACTAGAAGGATGGTAATTCTGTAGGTTGAGCTGACTCAGCATTTACTGAGCAAGCCAATCAGATATCAAGAACTAGAGGTTGGCAGTGTGTATGTGTGTGTGTGTGTGTGTGGGGGGGGTGGGCATGGGGAGTAAGCTGTATTTGGACTCTACTGTATCTGAGATATGTGTACAAAAGGCAGTTGGAAATGAACATTTGGTGTTTTGCTGAAAGGTGTGGATTCTTGATTTGTGATTTATTTCATTTCACAGTGTGTGTGTGTGTGTGTGTGTGTGTGTCCAGTGCATTCATAACTTTGCTGAGGGGCGTGGGAGAGATCAGTGGGGGAAGATGTGAACTCCCCCTTGGTGATCTAGAAACTCAGCTCCCTGGGAGCCAGCACCTCATTAGACTTGTTTACTATGGTATCTCCAGTGTCCTGCCAGTGCCTGGTATGTGGTAGACCCTCAAAAACAGTACGGGACGATTAGTTGTATTTTTGAAGTGGTTGTTTGCGGCAGCAGTCTCCGGTGTTTACCTATGCCGCCATCTTGCTAAATCTCAGTAATTTGATTATTATGTGTGTATGTTATATGCTGTTGAGTTGGCCCCAACTCTTGGTGACCAGATGAATGAGTGATGTCCACAATGTCCTATTCTCAACAATGCTACTCAGTTCCTGTAGACTTGTGCCTATGGCTTCTTTTATGGAGTCAATCCATCTCATATTTCACTTCATGTTGTGGTCATCTTTTCCTAGTGCCTTTTAGATTATTATATACCTTGATATAATGTTCTTCGTGTTTCTTGTGTTTGGGTTCTATTGAGTTTCTAGAAGGCAGGGTTGTGGGTAAAGATGCTGTGAGGAGATTGACTTACTGATGGGAGTTTATGGAAGTTTTCTTCAGATTGATTCAATGTTGTCAGTGGAGTAGGAAGCAAGGTTACTGGCTGAGACTAAGAGATTTGGGGCATGAGAGAAGGTATAAAGTTGTCATTTAGGAGGTTAGAAGAATCAAAGGAGCAGGGAACTGTAATATAGTCTTCAGGCATCTTTAAGGGTTTAACTAAAACTAATAATCATAAAGTCTGCTTGGTTAGTTGTTTTTCTCTTCCCAGTTTCAGCTGCAAGGGTGCAAATGTTACAGTAACTCAGAGTGGGCCGGAGTTGAGAATGTATGCAGGGAATGATTATACTGATTAATCACTGGATATATCTATATCAAACTTCCTTAAACAGAGTGGAAGCTATTAGAAGGCATTTTTTTTGTTTGTTTTCTTTTATTTTTTGTTTTTGCATCTAGGTGTTGAATATGTATTTGCTGATCCATGTATGGGTGTGTGTTAGTAGTAGAAAACCAGGGGTTAAAGGAAGTTGTCTTTTGGAGCAAATTAACTGTTTTTGATGACTGCTTTGTAAAGTCCTTCACATGGCCTACTCAGCTCCGCCTGTCCCGGCTCCAGACGATTAGGGCAGGTACCTCATACCAAGCACCCACAGTTCTCTGAACTCCAAACATACTGGACTTTCCCCCAACTTTTGCATTTGGCACACATGTTTACATATGTGGCTCCCTCTGCTTTTCAGCTTCCTGAGTAATTAAAACATTCCTATAAGCTTAGTATTTACTTAGTATGCCTACTTCTTAGCACTTGTCACAGTTTTAATTTTACATTTGTGTCATTGATAGCTGTTTGCTACTATGCTGTAAGCTTCCTGTGAACAGGACCTGGCCTGTTTTCAGGCCCTGCTGAACCTAGCATAGTCTCTGGCACACTGGTAATAAACATTTATAAGTAAGTAGAGGTGAAAGCAAGTAAGTGTGATATGTGAATCTTGGTGTGGAGAGCATCACTTTCCTTCTAGGGAATTCAGAGACTTCACAAGAAACTTGCTAATGCTACATGCCAACCTCCAAAGCTTGGCCTGGAATCCCGTGGAGCAGTGGTTCTCAACCTTTCTAATGCCGGGACCCTTTAATTCAGTTCCTCATGTTGTGGTGACCCCCAATTTCATTGTTACAAATTGAACATAATTAAAGCATAGTGATTAATCACAAAAACAATTGTAATTATATATGTGTTTTCCAATGGTCTTGGGCGACCCCGGTGAAAGGGTCGTTCGACCCCCAAAGGGGTCGCGACCCACAGGTTGAGAACCGCTGGCTAGAGAGTATTTGGGACCAAGGTAGGGTGACAAGAACCTTTTATTCCCACAGTCCCTGTGGGAGGCGCCTGCGCACTGGCCTCGCCGGATATACGCAGGGGAGTGGGGCGGGGCTTCCGTAACCTAGGCAACAACCCGGAAGCGGCGGGCTGCGTTTACCTGTGGCGGGCCGGGCGGTTCTGGTGCCTGAAGTTTTTGGTGGTGGAAAGCGGCGGTAGGGGAACGGCCAGGCAGGTTGAGGTGACGGGTCGGAGTCCTGCAGGCTTCAGCCCCACCGAGTCGTAGGGACCCGGCTACAGCGCGCGGTGGGGGCGCCTTTCGGTTCCCTGGGGACCCCGGCGCCTGGGTAGAGGGTCCTGACGACGGGAAGCGCACCCGCGACTCTGCGTGTGTGGAGAGAGTGTGTGCGTTTCTGGATGTGTGTCCGGGCGGGGTTGTGTCTAGCGCGCGCCCTCCCAGAGCCCCCGAGTGCGCGCGCGCTCCGCTTTCGGGCATTTGTGCACCGAGCTAGAAACTGGGGGGGCCCTCCTGGGTGGCTTTCGAGGGGTTTACGGTCTAGCGGGAGAAACAGTGCCCGGCGCACTCGGGGACCCGGAGGGTTCCTCCAGTCGGTGGGATGGCCAGGAAAGGGCTTGTCCGGAGGGGCCGCCGGAATGGGGTTTGGGGACCGAGTGGGCGTTCACCCCGTGGAACAGGGCAGGAAAGTTTGAAGGGAGTTCCAGACAGGGCTTGAAGAATGGGTAGAGCTCTCTGTGACAGCGAGAGCTTTGTTTTAGGATGTGGGGGAGACTTGGGAGGAGGGAAAACTGTAGAGGGCAGCCTGGCCGCACGGGGAGGGAGCGGTGGGGTGGGGGAGAGGGTCTGGGTGCCAGGCTGAGTTGCATTCCTCTGCAGGGAGGGCTGGGGGAGGCGAGGCGTTCGAGCTGTACTCTGGTCTTTCGTCTGGGGGACAGTGTTTGGAAAGATGTCTCCTTTTCCTTTGATCAGTTTTCCACCAGCCAGGGTGGATTTCCTTAAAGTCCTTCAGTGGCTTCCTGGATGTCTTTAGGATGGTGTTCACGTTGCTGTGGCTCACAAGTCCGTGCTCTGGTCTCTGCCTTTCTTTTCATTGTCTTTCTAGCCTTTCACCATCGAAAATCTTTGTTGGTAAAACCGAACTTCTCACACCCTTTTAAATGCCCCGCTTCCCCAGCACGCTTTCTCTCTCTTCCAACTTTTATTCATTAGCTGGAGCTCTCAGCTTAAACATTTGTGGGGGAATTCGAGGGAAGAGGCAGGCTTTTCCTACTACACAGAGTGACGTGTTTGTTTCCATGACACTGAATTTACTTGGCACAATTCTCTCTTATTACAATTACTCATTTAATTGTGGTCTGACAAACTTTAAGCTCTGTGAGGGTGTAGACTACTCTATTTTCTTGCAGTTTCTGTGCCTGGCTCTTGCATGTGCTTTCAAAATATTTGTTGAAATAACATGTGGATGATGAAGTGAGTGAGGGAATTAGTGAAAGGAAGATCAATTAGGGGAAATAACGAGAATCTAGGCAAAATCATTTATAGTAGAGATGAAGAGGAGGGGACGAAGAAGGGAGGTATTTCAGGGAAAGAATAAATTCTGGCATCTGACTGACTGTGAGACACGAAGAGAAGGTGATGCTAAGGCTTTAAACTGGAACAACTAGAAGGATGGTAATTCTGTAGGTTGAGCTGACTCAGCATTTACTGAGCAAGCCAATCAGATATCAAGAACTAGAGGTTGGCAGTGTGTATGTGTGTGTGTGTGTGTGTGGGGGGGGTGGGCATGGGGAGTAAGCTGTATTTGGACTCTACTGTATCTGAGATATGTGTACAAAAGGCAGTTGGAAATGAACATTTGGTGTTTTGCTGAAAGGTGTGGATTCTTGATTTGTGATTTATTTCATTTCACAGTGTGTGTGTGTGTGTGTGTGTGTGTGTCCAGTGAATTCATAACTTTGCTGAGGGGCGTGGGAGAGATCAGTGGGGGAAGATGTGAACTCCCCCTTGGTGATCTAGAAACTCAGCTCCCTGGGAGCCAGCACCTCATTAGACTTGTTTACTATGGTATCTCCAGTGTCCTGCCAGTGCCTGGTATGTGGTAGACCCTCAAAAACAGTACGGGACGAAGAGAGATGGTCTCCAGTGGGAAGACAGGAGGACTGAGATAGAACTGGGTAAAGATCTTGATTATGTGGTATGTGAGGAGGGGCCAACAGAGCCCACAAAGAAATGGAGAAAAGAATAGGAGAGAAACCAGGAGAAAGTATTGTGGGAGCCAAGGGAGGGGGGTCTTCCAGGAGTGGGAGCCTGCAGAGCTGGAAAGGCCTGAGAAATAAGAAGAGCTCAATGGTTTTAGCAATTAGGAAGGGTCCAATATTTTTAGTAATTATGAAGCTATTGGTATTTTAGGTTTTCTAGGCTGTGCTAATTATTTGACTCCTTAGCACCACAAAGTCTGTTCCTTGGTTGAGAAAAATATGGTCACCATTATTGGTGATGTTCAAGAGGACACTTTTCAGTGCAAAGATGGTCCCTGTGTTGCAAAAGTTTTTAAGTGTAACTGGAGCTCAGTGACTAAATGTGCCTCTCCTTCATAAAGGTTAGTGAAAGGAAGTCCAGAGGAGGGTCATAGCTTGGTTACACCTCTGTGATTTTACCATACAGAGGCTGGAATTTAGAGTTGGCCAGTATGTTAGTTTTCTATGCTGTATAACAAATGACCACAAACTTAGTGGCTTACAACAGTATATAAGTATTTCTCTCTTTACTGCGACCAGCACGGCAGTCCTGAGTAGGGGTGACGGGGGATTGAGAAAATGAAAGAGCCAGACACAGAGACAGTAGGGAAAGCTGGGACAGAGTGGGACAGCTGGCCCTCTGATGAAGAGACAGTGACCCAGAGCCGGTGCAGCGCGTTTATTTTATGCAGTGTGATTCCAGGAAGTTTTACTAGAGTTTAAGACAAAGGAAATTATGGGAAATCATGGTTGAAGATCAAGCTGCAATTCTTCATTCTTGTAGCTTCTTTGTAATTGTCACTCCTGGCTGAGCCCCTATAATTGCATTCGTTCCTTGCGCCTGGCTGAACTTAAATAATGAAACCCACCCCCTGGCACCTGAGCTAAAATAAAGGTCAGGCTGACAACATACCTACCTCTGGCACGGTATGTTTCCAGGACGTGGCTCTGCCAACGCCACTGGACTCAGCTGACAATAATCAAAGAAATGCTCATGTGCCTTCCCAGGCGCTTTCTACAACAGTATTCATTTATTATCTCACAACTTCTGTGGGTCAGGAGTTTGGACATGGTTAACTGGAGACTGTAGGGTCTCAGAGTTGTGATTGAAGTATTGGTGGCCTACATTCTCCTCTGGAGGCTCAGCTTGGGCAAAATCTGCTGCCAGGTTCACCTCACTCAGGTTGTTGGCAGAATTCATTTCCCTGCGGCTGTATGGCTGAAAGGTCTTGGCTTCTTACTACCTTTCTGCTGGAGGATGCCCACAGTTGTTTGAGTTTCCTGCTCCAGACCATTTTCATAGGCAGTCACAACACGGCAGTTTGCTTTTCAAGGCCAGCAGGAAAGAATCTTTTGCTCTTTCTCCTAAGACAGAGTATAATACAGGGGTTGCCAAAAGCAGGTTTACAGTAGTAAGTATGTGAGTTTATTCTGTATTATTATTTATTAATTATTATATTCTTTTCCATACAAACAACTATAAACCTACTTTTGCCCACCCCTGTATGAGGATTCCAATTTTTCCACATTCTTGCCAATGCTTGTTATTTCCATCTTTTTTATAACCATCCTACCAGGTGTGAGGTCTCATTTCCCTATTGACTAATTATGTTGGACATCCTTTCATGTGCATATTGACCATTTGTCTCATTTCCCTATTGACTAATTATATTGGACATCTTTTCATGTGCATATTGACCCTTAGACATTTAAAAAATGGATTATTTGTTTTTATTGTTGAGTTTTAAGAGTTCTTTATATATTCTGAATGCACATTCCTTATGAGATTTATGATTTGAAAATATTGTCTTCCACTCTTTTCACTTCTTTAATGATGTTCTTTGAAACACAACAGTTTTTAATTTTGATGTAGTCCAGTTAATTTTTTTCTTGGTTGCTTGTGCTTTTAGTGTCAAATCTAAGAAACCATTTCTTAATCTACTAGTAAGATTCATGAAGATTTGAACTTATATTTTCTTCTAGGTGTTTTTTACTTTTAGTTTTTTTTAAAAAAAATATTTTATTGAGTTTTTACAGATGCTTTATCCATTGAGCTAAGCCGGCTAGGGCAAGAAAGACTTTTTGGTCCCAGGAATTTGAATTCATTTCCAGACATTAAAACCCAGTACAGTCCTAGCTGGTTTGGCTCAGTGGATAGAGCATCAGCCTGCACACCAAAGGGTCCCGGGTTCGCTTCCAGTCAAGGGCACATGCCTAGGTTGCAGGCTTCTCCCCGGCCGGGGCCCTGGTTGGGGTACGTGGAGGAGGCAACCAATTGATGTGTTTCTCTCACATTGGTGTTTCTCTGTCTTTCCCTCTCTCATCCACTCTCTCTAGAAATCAATGGAAAATATCCTCAGGTGAGGATTACCAAAAAACGCGCAACCAAGGTACATGCCCTTGACCGGAATCGAACCTGGGACCCCTCAGTCCGCAGGCTGACGCTCTATCCACTGAGCCAAACCAGCCAGGGCTATTTTTAGCTTTTACATTTAAGTCTGTGGTCCATTTTAAGTAATTTTTATATATGTTGTTAGTTACTTCATTTTTTTTTTTTCATGAAGATATCCAGTTGTTCCAGCACTGTTTACTGAAAAGATTGTTCTTTCCACATTGAATTGTTTCTTGGCACCCTTGTTGAATATAAACTGATCATAAATATAAGGGTTTGTTTGGACTTCTGTTTCATTCTATATCGTTTTAAATTGGTATTTATGGCTCCGACACTTATTGTATCACCTTCATAGTTGGTTAACTGTCTGTCATTTAACTATTACTCTTGTCTTTAAAATGAGTAATAAATAGTAAATACTTCATGGAATTATTGTGAGGATTAAAGGAGATAATATGTGGGAAGAGCTTAGAACAGTGCCTGGATTGTAGAAAACACTCAATATGTGTTAGCTATTGCCATATTACCACCATCACTGTCATCATGATCACCATGATTACATCATCACTAGCACCATCATAAAACTTAAGTGTTATTTTCTAAGTTGTATGTGATTTATTTTTGGGGTTCAGGTGGAAAGTCCTATGATTATTTAGGTGTTTAAAGAAGTTCTAGACTGGGAGTCATGTTGCTTTTTAAAAAATTTATCTATCTATCTATCTATCTATCTATCTATCTATCTATATCTAGTGTTCAGGGACTGTGAGTCTTTTTAAAATTTTATATAATGTTTAGTTCAGTGTCCTTAGTATTGCTATTTTAAGAGTGCTGAGCAAATGTTGGCCATTTCCAGATTCTAGTTTAGATTAATCACCTCCATTTAGTATTATAGAAATGGTATCATAATTCATTTGTTCTCTAAAGTTTTGCCACCTTTATTTACACTAAGCACATATGTATCTAATAGTGATTTGAGTGTTAGAGTGCTTAAAAAAAGAACTCCCTCTCTCTTTTGCCTTCCTCCTCTTGCGTTCATACTGTTAGCATGTGACTGACATTTTCTATATTAATTGTGAATTTATATAACTGATGACAAACCTTATTACTACTGTTCTAGCACTCTGCTTTAGGTCATAATATCTGCATTCCTAGAGTTTTTTTTACTAAGCAAATAGATACAAGCTATTGCTTTGAAATTCTTTTTATTATAGTTAACTATCACAGTTTTCTATTAATTGTGAAGTAAAAGAACCAAGTTTTTTGATAGTTTGTTCCTTTCATTATGCTTAAATTTTTCTTCTGATGTTTTTAAAACTTATTTTCCTAGGTCTGTTCCCCCTCCACCTCCTCTAGTGATGCTTAATTACTAGTTTCTCTTATGTATTAAGAATTTGATATGATTATTACTCCTAGATGTCATTTGTCCGAGTGAACCGTTACAGCTCCCGGGGAGGAGGAAGGAAAGCACTGAAAGTAAAGAAGAAAACGGCAGTGAAGCAAGAATGGGATGTAAGTCTAGGTGGCAGAAGAAGCAGTGTAATGTTACTCTGAGGAATAGGTGTGCTGACATGGCCCTAGTCACTCAGAATGGCACTCTGAATCGGGTGCAGCATGTAATAGGGTGGAATGGGTTTCTGGGCATGTTACAATCTAGGTCTTGGCGGGAAGAGCAGAATCCTTTGGGGAGTTTTTTTTTAGAATATAGGAGTTGAGGCTGTACCCTCTACTTCTTTTGAAGAACTGTAACCTTAAGAGGTTGGGGAGTGTTTTTATTTTTTTATTTTTTAAAATTGCCTCTACCTCTACTTTAAGAATTCACTGCTTTAAGGCCACTCTAGCTAACCTGTGTCACTGATGTCTGAATTTTGGGGGTAGTTTTTTAGATTTCCCTGTATTAACCATTGATGCCGTAATCACATGAGTGGCATTTTTTGCTGAAAAAGTGGGTGATCCATGCTCTCTTACCCCTCAAATTGTTTGTTGCTCATATCCAGAGGGGGGGCCACTTGCAGTACAAAGCTTCTCTTAAGATAAAAAGAAAGTCTCAAGTACCTGGGCATGATCCATGGCTTCTACGCTGCATACTGCCTGGTATCACCAAGGGGATTTTTGTCTTTTGTGGCCTGGTACTTGGGTTTGGACCGTGAGACTTTAGGTGCCTTTGCTTCCTGTTGTGGAGAGTCACTAGTCGGGGACTAGTTTGTAAATCAGGGATTCTTTTAGACTTGGAATCTTCTGGGTTGTGAACAACCATTTTAGCCAGTTATCCTGGGCAAACTGGTGGCCTTTGGAAGTGGGACAGAGGGGTTTCTGTGTTTACATTGCTTTGTTGCCATCTGATTGGCTATAAAATATTTTTTATAAAGGTGTGATTCTAAGGTAATAAAACTGATGAAAAGGAAAAAAAATGCACACTTTAATATAAATATTGTCCCCTTCAGAGTGGTTACTTTGGGAAGTTCACTTTTTATTCTGATATGCTACTATTGTTGAAAACATAATGGAAACCCATCATGTGAAATTACATCAGAACCTTTCTCATTTACTTTTTATTATCTCCAGTGCTGGAAAAATATGATTTTTGAAGGTAGATTGAACTTGAAAGACATTTGGAGTGAATGTTAAATGAAGGAGGAGAGATAAACTGAATAATGCTGTTTTGATAAAAACAGTGAGATGTTTTTTGAAATGGCTTGTAAATTAGATTTAAAGGCAATTTTAAAAGAAAATTGTTTTAAGCTGCAGGAGTATTAATGAAATTATATTTTCTCCCACAAGTACTAATTCCAAGCATATCACTTACTTATATGCCTTAATTCTATTATGATTATTAAAAAAATCCTCATGATCTTATAGTTGTATCTTGTACGTTTCTAAATCAATATGAAAGGAATAATAGTTTCAGCATAGAAAAGCCTTGAGCTAAATATAAACTACGGCCGAAAATTTAAGTCTTTGAATACATCAACAGCTATTTCACCAGACTTAGTTCTCTATAGTTCTCTTAAGAGTCAAACTCTAGCTTGTTTTATGTCCTGCCTTACCATGCCTGTATAACATGATGGCTGAAGTCATTATGGAAAGGCCCAGATTGCAGGACTGCTTTTTACAGCTGTCTAGGCTGAGCACTGCACGATTTCACAGGAGTACTATTTACATAGACGCGGGTGTTAATGGTCCCTCCCCGAGTTGTGCAGTGTGGTCCCTGCCATGTTGTTTTGTGCCTTTTTACTTAAGTGACTATTTTCACATTTTATGAAATTATACAAACTCTGTCTCTTATTATGATAGGTTCGATGCTTATGGTGTTTGCATGATCACAAATTGAACCTTTCTATAGTGATCACAGTTTATCTTTTAGGAATTTTTACAAGTGTCTCATTCCATGGAATGCAGTCTGAAAACTACAGCTTTAGCTTATACTTATTTGAATTATATACTACCCTGCTTTATTCATTGTTTTAATATAATGTATATCTGCTTGGTGAATGTAGTCCTTATTTTCTGTAAGATACTTAATTTTCTACAAGATACCTAAAAGTAATCCATATTAATATTTAAATTGAGAATACTGGTTCCTGTAAAGAAAGGCTTTTTGTTTAAATATATTTCTTTATTAATTTCAGAAAGGAAGGGAGAAGGAGAGATAGAAACATCAGTGATGAGAGAATCATTGATCAACTGCCTCTTGCACGCCCCCTACTGGGGATCGAGCCCGCAACCCAGGTATATGCCCTTGGCTGGAATAGAACCTGGGATCCTTCAGTCTGCAGGCTGATGCTTTATCCATTGAGCTAAGCCGGCTAGGGCAAGAAAGACTTTTTGGTCCCAGGAATTTGAATTCATTTCCAGACATTAAAACCCAGTACAATCCTAGCTGGTTTGGCTCAGTGGATAGAGCATCAGCCTGCACACCAAAGGGTCCCGGGTTCGCTTCCAGTCAAGGGCACATGCCTGGGGTTGCAAGCTCGACCAGGAGGGTATGCAGGAGGCAGTCAGTTAATGATTCTCATCATTGATGTTTCTTTCTCTTTTTCCCCTCTCCCTTCCTCTCTGAAATCAATAAAAAAATAAAAAAAAGTATCCTCAGGTGAGGATTACCAAAAAAACCCCAAAAAACAAAAACCCAGTACATACATCTAAAGACACACAAACAATATCTGTTAATAGTTATAACTTTCTGAAGAATGTGAAAAAAACATGGTAAGAAGTTTGAATAACAAAAATCGCATTTTTTTTCAATTTAAATAAATACATGTCTTTTATATATTATGTAAAAATATACAATAATTTTATTTCAATTTAAAATAAAAATTTTATCTTGCTAAAATGTGATGACTAACCCCCTTAACTCTTCAAAGAAAGGTTTCTTGGAGAGTAGCATGCTTAATTAAATATAGTCTTTTAAAAAAATATACATTTTTATTGATTTCAGAGATGAAGGGAGAGGGAGAGAGAGAGAGAGAGAGAGAGATAGAAACATCAATGATGAGAATGCCCCCTGTACACCCTACATTGAGGATTGAGCCCACAACCTGGTCATGTGCCCAAACCGGGAATTGAATCGTGACCTCCTGGTTCATGGGTTGATGCTCAACCACTGAGCCACACCAGCTGGGTGAAATACAGTCTTTTAACTGAGATCCATCTGGCATGTAAAGAAAAAAAGGAAAATCAGTGTCATAAAAAAGAAAGTAAAACTGATTTCAAAATTTTTTTTAACCTAGTTTAAAGAATAAACTTTAAAACCCTATTAAAAAAAATCCAGTAAATACTAATATTTTATAGGAAACATTTTTTTTCTTTAAAGGAAGTTTATCTTTTTTTATAGAATACTGTGAATGATCTAACAGTTCATCGGGCAACTCCTGAAGATCTGGTAAGTTTAATATCAAAAGTTAATATTTGTTTTGTGTTTTATTTGATATTTGGTTTCTAACCTTCAGAATAGGAGCCAGAGGTACTTCTCAGAAGTTGTTATATTTATCTTGCTTATCTACACTAATAAAAGAGAAACATGGTAATTGGCGTACGACCGCTACCCTTCCCATTGGCTAATCAGGGAGATATGCAAATTAACTGTCAGCCAAGATGGCGGC